AACTGACTCTGAATCAGCTGCTATTCGGGGACAAATAAAGTATTTCTATCTATTACTTTTTATTTATTCTCCTGTACAGCACTTTGGTCAACTTTGGTTGTTTTAAAGAGCTTAACAAATAAAGTATTTCTATCGACTCTTGAGAAAACGCGCTTACGTCATTGCCACACCCACTGACGCTGCTGGAAGTCACGTCACGTCACGTCACGTCGGAACCAACAGCCTAGCAACTTCTGCGGGTCTCTCTCTTCCCGAAGCCCATCCGGACATATTACTGCGGACAGTCTGCGTGAGAGTGGACCAGAGGAGACCCGAGCAGGACCCCGCAGGGTGGCCGGCCGCTGGCGACTAACATCTGGATGTTAAACTCACATTAAACCGATAAAAAGAGGAGCAACAGGAGGGTGAGCCGGACGGACATGGCGGACGGCAGCAGGTTCCCAGCTCTCAGTTAAACAGCAGGCGAAGCGAGGACTGGTTTGTTTTAATGGTACATGGATAACCGGGACTCCCCAGGACCGGAAAGCCTCCACTGAAGCCGCATGGCGTCCACTCAAGCCCGGCTAGGCCAGCAGGCCCTGGCGGTGCTGGATGTGGCTCTGCGAGTCCCCTGCATCTTTATTATCGACGCCATTTTCAACTCTTACTACGACCCCGGTTCGGGATGGGCCGGTGCCGTGGGGAAGGTGTTGGTCCGAGTCACCGGTAAGCGTCTGATCCGGTTTACAGAAACCGTGTTAGCTGTTAGCTCCAGCTGACGGTCACCTGTCAGAGCCACTGAAGCCGATTTCCCCCTCAGCTGGAGGATCGGTGCACGACCCAGTGCTCTTACAGTCGGTTCTGATGGTCGGTGCCGACCCATTCAGTCTCAGTCGGCGCTAACAGGTGTTTTGTCGCACAGGTGGGGACGTTGTGGCAGCTGCAGGTCAAATTCTGCATCTTTTTATCCTGTAACTTTGCCTAGAAAGTGGTTTAAATTCTGTACGTGCAGGCCCATCACAGGAGCACCAGAACCCAAACGGACTCATTTATGCGTCTTTTTCTGTGATCAGAAGTCCAAAACTCAACTGTGTTCAGTTTATTATTGCAGAAGACAGAAAACCCGCAAAACAAAAGTCAAATGTGCAAAACTAAAGTGTTTAAATGTGCTTTTAAAATCAGCATACTGTCCCTTTATGGTATTATGTGTGCATTATTTTATGTAAACCTTTTGTTTACTGTGAGTTTGTAACGTAATTAAACAAAATCCTTTACATTTAAAAAGAAATTGCACTTAAGATTTCAAAATAAGACACTCTATGGTGAGCTTTTACTTCCCGTTCATTTACACAGTAAAATGAAATGACGTTGAACCCCACCTTTAAATATTCCACATGATGAACCCGATTTAATTCAGCCTTCGCAGTAATAATGTGACATTTAAATCAAACTCATGATTCTTGTTTTGCTTCAGTTTCTCTTCTTCAGGCTCATAAGAACATGTGTCTCTCTCACTGTGTCACATGATGACTGTTGCACTCGGCAGGCGTCGCTCAGGCCGTGCAGTTCCTCCTAACCAGTCTACGTTAAGCACTGCTGTTATTATTCTCCTCGTCACTGGCAGAAAACACGGAGCACAAACAGCCACCAGGTTGCGTAACTCTCTTTTGTGGACCTTTGAACGGCTCAGCTGAAAGTCCTCCTGGTGTTAGGCGACGGCTCCGGGTTTGGAGAGGCAGCGGGAGCCAAATAAGGTGGCTTTTAAAGTGGGTCAGGCAACAGTCTCATGTTTCTTTATGTGTAGTACCAGCATACACAACCCCCCCCCGCCTGCCCTCCCCAGGAGTGTTTACCTGAAAGAAAACTAAAAAACAAGACTTTCTAAAAGCTCAAAAGGGATAAAAACCCAAATGTGAGCTGTAATATTCGAGTAGATTCGACAATTTAACAGCAAAGTTCAGTTTGGTCAGAACTCTTTACAAAGCCGGTCCAAGGTCAACACTGTCAGCGACTAAAGCTCCTTAGTTCGAGGTTGTTAGGGGGCCTAAGGTCAACGCAGTGTGAACCAGGGGGGTATGTAAAGAGTCAGGTGATCAACACATACGAAGATACCAAGGTGTTTCCATAGTAATATAATAATAACATTAATACATAAAGCTTTAAAGGGACTCATAGGCACTTTACATGGTAACAAAAAGACAATAACAGAAACAGCAGAGGCAAAAACAACGACTGTAAGAGCTATAAATAACCATGAAGAGGAGAAACCAACAGGAGCGGCTGACTGGTTCAGCTCATCCACAGCCGTCTGCATGTTGTATTGGTTGTGTAACTGTGCTCACTTTACGGCCGTCCATAACAAGAACACGAACACACCTACAGCTGGACTGCACTGGGAGCTGTCTGCTCCCCTATTGTGCACAGCATTCCTTTCACATGAGTGGCTCAGGTGTTCGTTTTATCCATTCAGCTTTGTGTGCAGCCGCTAAAGCTCTCTGTCTTCTGTGATCTGTAGCACACACACCCACGACGATGACCTGCAACCGAAACGTCCCAGTTATTAGGTCTTAGTTAAATGTTTGACTTGTTTTTCCCTGGTTTTTTTGCAGGATTGTAGCGCCGCAAGCTGATTGTTTTCCTCCTAATCTTGTTTGTGTTTTGGGCACTCGCGTCGTTGTTTTTCAGAGAAACCATGTTCGCGTTCTTAACCTGAAAATCCACAACACTTAAAGTATATATATACAGGAAATCCACTGCTACTACGTTACTACTACAGCCCACCAGACTAAACCAATAATTTGACCTCACAGATAATCCTAAAAACACGCTTCAAACAGAAACGATATAAAACTCTTTGTTTTGTCGCCAACGCTGGTTTGGTCGAGTTAAATGTGGAAATATTTCTCCATTCTCTGCTCAGGATGCCAGTACTCCACTATATCTCTACACAGCAAATACTAGTTTACTCCTATATTAACGTTTGAAATCATATACACCCTGTAGTGTTGTTTTACAGGCTGCGACAGTCAGCAGTTGTCTGTGTGGTTGCATCATGTTGTTCCTCTGTTGTCTCTCGTGTGTCCCAGGTGTCCTCATCTCCAGCGTGGTGCTGCTGCTCTCCCAGAAAGCCTTGTTCAAGTTCTACACCCTCTTTTTTGCTGTTCTCCTGGGCATGGCGGCGGTGCTCTTCAACTACTACGCCACCTCCCACATAGACTTCTACAGCGCCTACTACAAAGCGGCCCTGGGGTTCAGGCTGCTGCCCAGAAACGGGCCGACGCTGTGGCTGGGGATGGCCGCGGTTCAGCTCGTTTTCGGCGTGGGCTACGTGTTCCTGCTCAACCTCCAGTCGGTGTTCGCCGCGCTCGTGGTCCTGGACATCATGATCCCTCTGTGGGGGCTGATGATCGAGCTGCCGGCGGACGTCAGGCAGCTGGTGGCCGTGTTCTCGGGCCTGGCGCTGGCTCTCAACACGGCCGTGTGCCTGGCCATGAGGCTCAAATGGTTTTACTACTCGTGCCGGTACGTCTACCTGCTCGTACGACACATGTACAGGATCTACGGGCTTCAGCTGCTGCTAGAGGACACGTGGAAGAGGATCCGATTCCCTGACGTGCTGCGGGTGTTCTGGCTGACCCGGGTCACAGCCCAGGCGCTGATCCTGGTCTACGTAGTGCGGGCGGTGAGGAGGGAGAGCGGCGATGCCACAGGCGGTGCCGCAGACGGGAGCTCGGACTCGCAGGTAAGATCAGAACCATTCAGCTTTTAATGTCTCTGCAGGTCCAGAAAAGCCTTTAAAAAAGGACTTGGGAGGTATTAAAAAGTCTTACATTTAATTTACAACGGGCTTTATTGTTTTATCTCCTGCTGTAGACAATAACAAGTTGTTGGGATGTTTAGTTTCAGTCCGCACCATCAGACCGACCGATAAATGGGCATTGGCTGCTCTCATTACATCACAGATATATTATAGCAGGGTGCGTTGGCTGATAAACAACAAGAACTGTCAGTACCGAAACGCCAAAGAAATCGAAAACAGTGTCTGATGAAAACATAACTATAAAAGGATTCCTGTCACAAATGTGTCTGAATGTTAAAGGGAGTTGGAAGTAGTGTTGACGTGCGTAACTGTGACTGCCCCGCTCTCAGGGTTACCTGCTGAGCTGGGACGTGTTCTGGGATCTGACGAGCAACCTGATCATCTCTGGCTGCGACTCCACGCTCACCGTTCTGGGGATGAGCGCCGTTATCTCCTCTGTCGCACACTACCTCGGCCTCAGCATCCTGGCCTTCATAGGTACGACTGAGCGTGGTGTACTCACTTTTATCATCTGCCACACTGGCTATAAGTCCCTCCTGAAGTTCGGTCTTTTGTCTCATTTTGACCCTTCAGGTTCGACGGAGGAGGAGGACAAGCGTTTAGGCTTCGTGGCTCCTGTTCTGTTCTTCATCCTGGCTCTGCAGACCGGCCTCAGCAGCCTGGACCCTGAGGAACGCCTGGTACGTCACTGCAGGATGCATGATGAGTCGGGGATAATTGGTCTGCTGTTGGGGAAGCAGACAGCGTGTTGATGCTGGATGTTCTCCGTGTTTCTGAACCTTTACCTTCGTTACTTTCCTCCACTGTTTTCATTGACTTTCTGTGTGACTGTCTCCACTTTGCCCTTCAAACCACCATCAGCTGTGGCTTCTTACAGCCTCTGATACCTGCTTTAATGCAGTAACCCCCTTGGGTGTCAGCATGTTTAGTTTATATTGTGCCAAGATGTATTTTTATTATTATTTTATGTATTTTTGTTTAATTACCTCCAGTGTGTGTTGCTCTGGTGTGTTTGACCGTTTATTTCATCCATGTTTATTACAAACAGTATTTAAGCCTTTCTCAATGACAGAAACTGCTAGCAGAGGTAATGATCTTTATACATCACTGAGTCTCTCTCGCTTTGATCTGAAGGTCCGCCTGAGCCGGAACATGTGCCTTCTGCTGACGGCCATCCTGCATTTCATCCACGGCATGACCGACCCCGTCCTGATGTCCCTAAGCGCCTCCCATGTCTCCTCTGTTCGCCGCCACTTCCCCGTCCTGCTGGTGTCCCTGGCGCTCTTCGCGCTCCCTGTGGTGCTCAGCTACGCCCTCTGGCACCACTACGCCCTCAACACCTGGCTCTTTGCCGTCACGGCCTTCTGCGTGGAGCTCTGCCTCAAGGTGAGGACGGACACTTTACTGTTGAAGAACTACTTCCTGTTAGGTCTCGTGTGTGTGTGTCTGTGTCTGT